TATAAATTACCCAGTAAAGCCCAGCCAGTTTGGCTCAGTGGTTAGGGCATCGACCTGCGGACCAGAGAGACTTGGGTTCGGTTCCGCTAAGGGCACATACCTCAGTTGCACTTTGTCCCTGGCCCCGTTTGGGGTCGTGTGGGTGACAACCAGTCAATGTATCTCTCTCATATTGATGTTTCTCTCTCTCTCTTCCTCCCTCTCTCCCTCCCGCTCTATCTGAAGATAAGTGCAAAAATGTCCTCAGGTGAGGATAAAAATAAATAAATAATAATAATAAAAATTATTCAGTTCAATTATTTAGACTTTTACGTCAAAAGTTATTAAATCTACAGATATGTTGTTGTCTCATGCTAAACACAACATACATTTTAGATGGATTAACAAAAATTTTAAAAATAAAAACAATATAAAAAGTATATATATTAAATTTTATGTATAAAATCCCAAATGAGATTTGAAGTGGATATGAACTATGCCTTTCAGTAGTCAAATGAAAGCAGGGCAATTGTGAAGGAGAGGAAAAAGGAGAACCAGCCTAATGCCTTACCCACAGGTCCATACTCAGGCCTATGGTTGAGATGAACATATGGAGGAAAGCATGCACATTCAAGTTGAGGATCTTGAAATTGAATTTTTAGAAGTCTACTTAGGCCTATACACTTCTTAAGAAGTTCTTGGGTATCCTCAGGGGTACATATACTCCAGTTAAAGACCACTGCTCTAGGGAAAATTCTTGTACATGAGATCTGTATAAGAGTGTTCACTGCAGCACTGTTTATCATCTAGAAAACCTAGAAATGACCTAAATGTTCATCATGAGAATGATGGAGAAATTAAATGTAATATAGCATATGATGGTTTACCAACAGCAGTAGTTGAACTAAATTAACTAGATCTACACATGCCAATACAAATGAAGCTCAAAACCATAAGTTGAGTGAAATAAGCAAGATATAGAACAATATTTACAATATCATATAATTTCTATAAATTCGAAACACTATATTTACAAAGCAATACTATTTGTATTTTTAAATTACAAATTATAGTCAACATACAGAAAAATATAGAGAATAAAATCCATGCATATACTCACCCCCCAGTTTTAACAAATGTTAATATTTTGCCATATTTACTTCAGATAAATTCTTAAGAAGTTGAATGTGTAATTGGGGTCCTTTATTCCTCTCTAATCCCTTTCTTCTCCCTACCTTTCCAGAAATAACTGTTATTATGAAGTTTGTGTATATACTTTGTGTTCATGTTACCATTTTGCTACATATATTTGTATCCATATTAAGAATATATAAAGAACTCCTACAATTCAACAACAAAGCAACCTGATTAAAAAATAGACAATAAAAAGTATATATATCATATACTTTAGAATAGACATTTCTACAAAGAAGCTATACGAATGGCCAATAAATATATGTGAAGATGCTCAACAACATTAATCATTAGAGAAATGTAAATCAAAACCACAATGATACCACTTCACACCCATTAGGACGGCTATTATAAAAATAAAAATAAGCAATTAATCAAACAAACAAACAAACAAACAGTAAATAGCAAGTATTGGTAAGGATGTGGAGAAACTGGAACCCCTGTGCACTGCTGGTGAGAATGTAAAAAGGTGCAGCCACTTTGGGAATGCCCGTATGTATGTAGGTTCCTCAAAAAGTCAGAAACAAAATTACCACATGGTCCAGTAATTCCATTTCTGGGTATATACTCAAAATAATTGAAAACAAGAACTCAAACAGGTATTTGTATACTGATGTTCATAGCAGCATTAGTCACAATAGCCAAAATGCAGATGCAGTCCAAGAGCCCATTAACAAATGAATGGGTAAACAAAATGAAATTTATTATTTTTAAAAGGAAGAAAATTCCAACATATGCCACAACATGGATGAATCTTGAAGACATAAGTGAAATAAACCAGTCACAAAAGGACAAATATTGTACAAGTCCCCTTATAAGAGACACCTAGAGTAATCAAATTTATAGACAGAAAGTAGAATGAGCCCTGGCCGGTTTGGCTCAGCGGTTAGAGCGTCGGCCTGCAGTCCTGAGAGACCCGGGTTCGGTTCCCGCTAAGGGCGCGTACCTCGGTTGCAGTTTGTCCCCGGCCCTGGTCGGTTGTGCGGGTGGCAGCCACTCGATGTGTTCCTTTCGCATCGATGTTTCTCTCTCTCTCTCTGTTCCTCTCTCTCCCTCCCACTCTACCTGAACAAAAAATGGAAAAATGTCCTCGGGTGAGGATAAAAAAAAAAAAAAAAAAAAAAACAAAACAAACAAAAACTCTTAAAAGAAAGTAGAATGATAGTTGCCAGGAAATGGAGAAAGGGAGGAATGCGTTATTGTTTAATGAGTATAATTTCAGTTTTGGAAGATGAAAAATATTCTGGAGATGGATGATGGTGATAGATGCACAACAGTGTCCATGTACTTGATGCCACTGAACAGTACACCTACAAATGGTTAATTTTGTTATGTATACTTTACCAGAATTTATAAAAAGTAACATCTGGTAAGAGGTTACCCCTTCTGACATGGCGTAGCACATCTGTGGTTCCTTATTTATTCCTCTGGGAACAATGTTTCTGACAGAAAGCATGGTCTCTGGAATGCATAAATATGACTCATCAGATAATAAACTTTTTCATTGTAATTAGTGCAGAATGTCACAAGATGTCACTCTTTAGCTGAGAAACTTTTCCAATTTGGTTCAGAAGCAGATAGGAGTAATGCCAGAGCAACTAAAAAGCTTGTTACCTACTCCTCAGTGCTTTCCTCTCATAGAAACACAGTTTTCTGGGAAAGAGGTTTTTCCTTTACCAAGTGTATTAAGAAGCTATTCTTGTTTATGAAACTTATGTGAGTATTTCAAAGCTTCATTGGTACTAATTGCTTTTCATTATAAATCAAATTGGTGTAATTAAGACACAACTGCCCTGGCCAGTTTGGCTCAGCGGTTGAGCATCAGCCTGTGGACCAGAGAGTCCCAGGTTCGGTGCCCGCTAGGGGCACGTACCAGCAAAAGAAAAAAAAAAAGAAGGAAGGAAAGTAAAAGAAAAAAAAGACACAACTAACTTTGAAATTGTAACAATACAAAGCTAAAATGTAAAAATTATTGGTCATTGAAAGTCAGATGGCTTGTGGCTTTATCACTCAATGATGTGTGACTTTGGGTAAGTCATTTCATCTCTCTGATATCACTAGAGTGGAAAAAAACAAACAAAAATCCCCACTGTCTTTCTTAAGTCAATATACACTACTGTATATTTAATAGATGCTAATACATATTTCAGTACATTCTTTTAATTTAAAATACTTTTGTTTTAATAGTAGTAATCAATTATAACTGTTCAAATACACCACCAATGGGAGTTCAGTAATAGAAAATATCTTCAAGAAGACATTAAGATTTCTTGATATCTTGGGGAAATACTGTAAGAAAATACTCACATGTATAAAACAATTATAGTGCCCTGGCCGGTTTGGCTCAGCGGTTGGAGCGTCGGCCTGCGGTCCGGAGAGACCCTGGTTCGGTTCCCGCTAAGGGCACGTACCTCGGTTGCAGTTTGTCCCCGGCCCTGGTTGGTCGTGCGGGTGGCAGCCACTCGATGTGTCCCTTTCACGTCGATGTTTCTCTCTGTCTTCCTCTCTCTCCCTCCCACTCTATCTGAACAAAAAAATGGAAAAATGTCATCGGGTGAGGATAAAACAATTATAGTAAAAAGTATAAACTCTTGAAATTTAGAATATCTCATTTATTACTGAGATTGTTTTTTTAATGATGGAATATCTTGATGTATTTTTAGCTTTGCCCAAATATAAAAATTTCAAGATTCAAGAACATGTCAGTCCTTAAAGATAATAGCATTTGAATTGATAATATTACCTTGCAATTATAATCCAAATAAATTATTTTTAAACTTCTATTTTGGTAAAAAGTTTATCATTGATTTATAGTACCTAAAAATAATCTAAAGCCTAAATATCCACCCTTGGGTTAACTGCTGGACTCTATGGTACATTAATAAATGAGACTATATTTTATTAGTAGTAATAGTTATTAGGATTAAATTATTGGAATAAGAAGGACCACTGGAAGTGATGGGTGAAAATATAGAATTCAGAATGCTATAAAAAAGTGTAAATAGTGCCTGGTTTAGAATACTGTTTGTTTGTTTTGTTTTTGTTTAACTGTTAAAAATTAGATCTTTATATTTAACTTTTATGTTCAGATGATTAAATATGTAAAAGAAAAGAAAATAATTACTTGTTAAAATTTGCATGATTATTTTAAACATTGGAAACTAAATACAAGATTTATATTCCATGTTACAGTGCCACTTCTAGCATACATCTGTGTGTGTGTGTGTGTGTGTGTGTGTGTGTGTGTGTGTGTGTGGTGGTGGTGGTGGTAGTAATGGGAAATCTCTGTGTGAAAGAAATCTGGGAGGGGCATAGTGGGAGAGGCCCCTTCTGTCTCATTGATAACACGTTCATTCACTGGGAATTGGCTAAAACAGACTACTCTCTTCTGCAGTCATTCCCTTTACCCTAGTAAGGCTCCGCCGCCTCTTAGAACTCGGTAAGCTTCTGTAGAATAATCTGAAATGACTTGGGGGATAGTTTATTGAGTAGTGGAGAAGGAAGGAGGTAGAGGTGGTAGTTATGCTTTACTTTGCTTTCGTGTTTGCACGGGATTTTTAAAAAACGATTTAAAAACGATAAATTTGTCAGTAAGCGATTTTCTCCCAGGAGAACTTTTCATTGGGGCTGCTGCCGCCCGCTGGAAACCAGCACCCAGAAAGTCTGGGAAGAGGGATCCGCCGGTGCATGTATGTGCTGGGGCCAAGGACTGCGCTGAGTTCAGTAAGTAGCCGTCTCTGCCTCTGTCCCCAGGTCTGAGGGATGCTGCTGTCCTGGCCCTGCCGCCACTGAAGCACCCAGAGGTCCTGGGAGAGCCGATCTGAGCCATGAGTCCTCTGAGGCTGCGAGCGTCCTTCTCGCTGCTGCTCCTGCTGCTGCTGCTGCTGCTGGGTGGCTGCTTGCTCGCGGCAGCCCGGAGGGACGAGGAGGCGGCAGGCAGCGCCGCAGAGTCGGTCAGGGGTCCTGCGGGCGGCTCTTCAGGCCGCTTCATCAGCCTCGCGCGCCACGCGTGCAGCTGGCAGCTCCTGCTGCCGGCTCCAGGCCGGGCGGTGGGCAGCGAGCTGTCGCTGCGCTGCCAGGGCCCGGATGGGGAGCGCCAGCAGTGCGCCTACCACGGGGAGCCCCAGCGCTGCGCCGCCTACGCCGCCCGCGGCTCGCACTACTGGAAGCAAGTGCTGGGCCGGCTGCGCAAGAAGCGGCGGCCCTGCCAGGACCCCGCGCCGCTCAAAGCCCGCCTGTGCGCAGGCAAGAAGGGTCACGGCGCGGAGCTGCGCCTGGTGTCCCCCGCGTCCCCACCCGCCAGCCCCACTGCCGCGGGCTTCTCCCGGGATTTCAAGCCTCGGGCCAGAAACCGGGAGCGGCCCCGGGAGCCCGCGATCCGTCCCGCCTCAAGGGTTCCGCCTCCCCCGAGCGCGCGCCCCAAAGGGAAGCCCTTTGAGAAGAAGACTAAGGGGAGCAAGAGGAAGGTGGCCTCCGATCCAGACGAGGAACGACTCCTGGGGACAGGGCCCGATCCCGACGGGCTGGACGAGAACGCGAAGCTTACGGAGACCTACTGTGCTGAGAAGTGGCACTCGCTCTGCAACTTCCTTGTTAGTTTCTGGAATGGCTGAGGCTGCCAGCTGGAAAGGGACCTGGGGTGGGAGTGTCGGGGAGGTGGTGCTCAGCTGGAGCGGGGGAGCGAAGGGCACCTTAGGCCAGGAGATGCAGGATAGAGAGTGGGGAGGGGTCCAGGTTCTAGAACGAAGGTGGGGATGGGGTGGGGCTTGGGATGAGAGTGTAAGGGATGTAGAGAATCTGAGACAGCAGAGAAGTTAAACATTTTGAATAAGACCCGCAGAAATAGAAACAGAAGTAGGCATACCTTAAATATATAAAAATTGTAGAATGGGGAGAGAGAGGGGTTCAGAGAGAGGCTGAGAAGAATAAGGTGGGGAGATGTGAATCACGTGGGAAGCTGATACAATGTGTACTGTTTAGCGAACATACTAAAATGTGATCACAAACAATTGTTAGCCTCAGCCAAGTTAAACTGTGAAGTGTCTTCTCACCTAATCAGTCGACAAGAATAGGACAACTTTGACCAACTTTTTTTCTCTCTGAATTAGCATTAACTTGGGTGCTGCTTAGTGTCATAGATGACCTCTACTGAGATAGAAGCCATTCACTGGTCAAAGTTGCCTCTAGTGAAAAGATTTTCAGAATGGTTGTCCTTGAATGTTTAGAAGTGCTACTTTTAAACAGAGTGATGCCTCATGTTCTGTAACTTTTCCATTAACCTTCTAAATTCAGAAGTGAATTGTAGAACTTGAATGTTCCAGTAGGTTTTAAAATATATATTTTTTATAGTTGACCATATTTTTTTTTAAAAAACAGCTAAAATGTAAGAATGTGTCGCAGAGTCATTTGGACCATTATGGAAGTTGTATTTCTGTTTCGTGTAATTAATTGTTAACCTATTTCATTTTAAATAAGATGTAATAGGAGGCTTTGCATATGTTAGGTGCTCAATAAAAACTATATGGATAGATTTAAAGAACTACCAGGGCAATGAAAATTCTGACTGTATTTGATCTAGTTCTGAGTGTGTCTTGAAGTAAGTTGCTAAACCCATCTTGAATTTTTGGGAAAGACAAGAAAGAAGTCTGCATAAGTCAAGAGTCACAAACTGGCAAATCCTGGGCCCTATCACTGTTCTATGTGACCTGCATGTGGCTGGTTCTCTTCCTCCCTCCCTCCCTCCCTCCCAAATTGGATTTGTTGCCAGCATTTAAACATTAGATAATGTCAAAGAAAACTCCAGATTTCTGAATTGTCTTGAAAAACCAGATCTAGCACCATTGTACCAACCTCTCAATGTGGTAGCAGTTGGCTGACACTGAATGTTGGCTGCCCCTTTAGATTAGGCATGTTTTCTGGAGTTCTCCACTGCTTCTACATATCTTATCAATCAACTTTATTCATTCATATTACAGACCTCAGCCCATGAGACATTTAAGCAACTTCTCAATATAAGGTTTTTACCTTCTTACTGACCTGTTCTTCTCACCTTTAAAATCATGGTAAATGCAACAATCTTACAAATATCAAATATCTCTTGAACTTTTCCCTCTTTGACCAGCCTCTAGGAAATGTAAAACTCTCTTTTACTGGATCTTTACATTCTTGTATTCATACTATTGGCAAAAACATTCAGATTGTACACAGTTTCAGGTTGGGTTTATGAGGTCACATTTGCGTAAAACTGACCATTAGATAAAATTCATCTTGGCCAAAGAAAGGAAGTTCAGAGTAGCTGGAGACTACTCTCTGAAGATAGGGACCAATGTATACTTTCTACAAAAAGATTAAAGTTTGGGTGCCATCAGAAAAGGGTATGGCCCTGGCTGGTTTGGCTCAGTGGTTAGAGCATCTGCCCGTGGACCAGAGAGTCCTGGGTTCGGTTCCTGCTAAGGGCATATACCTTGGTTTGTCCCCGGCCCCAGTTGGGGTCGTGTGGGTGGCAGCCACTCAATGTGTCTCTCTCGTGTCAATATTTCTCTCTCTCTCTTCCCCCCTCTCTCCCTCTGGCTCTATCTGAAGATAAATGCAAAAAATGTCCTCAGGTGAGGATTAAAAAAAATAATAAATAAATAAATAAACAAGAAATAAATAAAATAAAAAAGAAAAGGGTAGCCCTGGCCGGTTTGGCTTAGCAGTTAGAACGTCAGCCCACAGACTGGAGAGTCCTGGGTTCAGTTCCCTCTAGGGGCACGTACCTTGGTTGTGGTTTGTCCCTGACCCCAGGGTTGTGTGGGTGGCAGCCAGTCAATGTGTGTCTCTCACATCAATGTTTTTCTCTCTCCACCCTCCCCCCAACCCCTGCTCTATCTGAAGATAAATGCAAAAAAAAAAAAAAAAAAAAAAAAATGTCCTCGGGTGAAGATAAAATAAAAAACAAAAGGGTATAAATGAAACTACTGTCTAGCCCTGACCAGTTTGCTTGGGATCGTGTGGGAGTCAACCAGTTGATGTCTCTCTCACATTGATGTTTCTCTCTCTCTCTTTCTAAAAATTGATGGAAAAATATTCACAGGTGAGGATTAAAAAGGGAGAGAGAGAGAAACAACATTGTCTAGAACCATTGCTTTATCTCCCCATACAAGACAACTACCAGTTCCTTCCTGTGTGCCTTTTGGCCATTTGGTGAACTTATCTCTGTGGAAGAGGGAAAGGCCAAACTCTGTAAGCCAAGTACACTGTGTAGGTTGCTACTTCTTTACTGTTTAAGAGTGATACCAGGACTCTGTCTCAGGAACAGAATATGGGCTAAGAGGGGCCAATTGCTTGCAATGAAAGGAAAATGGACAGATCCTACCATCAGATTCCGAAGTGACTTTGGTTAAGTCCCAGTGACCCTGATATGTATATTAATGGGAGTCAGACTTAGTTAAAGCTGCAGTCCCTAAGGCACACTACTAGCATTCTAGAAACCTGTACATAGTTTTTATAGAGATGATGACATGTGAAAATCAGTAAGTGCTACATGTAGTACTACATGTTATAATCCCAGGAAGATCATAGAGTTAGAAAAGACCTAGAGAAAGACAACCGAAATGACCAGGGAAATAGAGAGGGCTTCTGTATTTGGAGCATTTAGAAAAATTTGGAAGTTTAGGCTAAACGGAGAAACCTGCAGGTGGGAGAAGACAGGATCAAAATCTCTAAAATAGCCCTGGCCGGTTTGGCTCAGCGGTTGGAGTGTCGGCCTGCGGTCTGGAAAGACCCGGGTTCGGTTCCTGCTAAGGGCACGTACCTCGGTTGCAGTTTGCCCCCGGCCCTGGTTAGGTTGTGTGGGTGACAACCACTCGATGTGTTCCTTTCACGTCGATGTTTCTTTCTCTTTCTCTCCCTCCCACTCTATCTGAACAAAATATCAAAAAATGTCCTCGGGTGAGGATAAAAAAAAATCTATAAAATAATGGGGGGGATATACATGGGAAATATGGGAATTTTTCCCTGCAGGTGCCATTAGGAGCGAAGGGAAAGTTGCCAGGCATACCCCAGTTAATGGTCAAAGCTGGCATCAGCAAGGGCATCAAAATAGTAAGGCAACCCTGGCCAGTGTGGCTCAGTTGGTTGAATGTCGTACCACGCACCTAGGGGTCATGGGTGCAATTCGCAGTTAAGGCACATGCCTGGCTTCTGGGCTCAATCCCCAGTAGGGGGGCATACAGAAGGCAGCCAATGGATAGTTGTTCTCACACAGATGTTTCTCTCTCTCTCTCCCTCTCCTTTCCTCTCTCTCTAAAAATATCAATAAAAATTAAAAAGAGCCCTGGCCAGTTTGGCTCAGCGGTTAGAGCGTTGGCCTGCGGTCCGGAGAGACCCGGGTCCGGTTTCTGCTAAGGGCACGTACCTCGGTTGCAGTTTGTCCCTGGCCCTGGTTGGTCGTGCGGGTGGCAGCCACTCGATGTGTCCCTTTCACATCGATGTTTCTCTCTCTCCCTCCCACTCTATCTGTACAAAGAATGGAAAAAATGTCCTCGGGTGAGGATTAAAAAAAAAAAAAAAATTAAAAAGAAATAGCAAGGCATCTGTAGCTCAGTCTATGGAAGACAGAGAATTTGTTCAAAGCATCACACCATCTTGTTCTGATTGTACGTCCCAAGTTATTTATCACAGAGCTAACAGGGAAAAGTGGAATTACACCCATGCATTCCATACCTAGTTTGCTTTTCTTAATTCATTTTGACTAGGTAAAATATTTTCAGCCTTTAAAGTCTCTCTCTTTTTCAATTTGTCCTGCACACCACCAACATATTAATCCCTCTCGAACAATGCTTTCATTCAGTGACTCAGCTTATGAGTTTAAATATAGGCAGGATCAGTAACAGTGCTGTGGGAAGCCATATAGGAGCCTGAGGCAAAAGAAAAATCAGTAATAGTGATCCCATCTTTATTTCAAAATTCAATATTTTGCTCCTCATGAATTGTTCTGCAGTAATTTTTATTTTAAAAATATTGCTATTTTGGTTACTGGGTTTGTCGCTACTCCCTTATATTTTGCTCCCCAGCCAAGAACCTCACTCATCTCACTTGCCTCCTTCAAGCCTGGCCCTAGGAGGCGGCTCTGTGATGCGGGTGAGCACTGGTTTTGGAGTTAGACATGGCTGGTTTGAGTATTAGTTCTTCCTGCCAGTTTCTCTGAGTTACTTTGAGACGGTTGCTTAATCGATCCATCTTTCTCTCTTTTCTTATTAAATAACAATAATGTCTAACTTCCAGGGTTACCATGAAGAATAAATTATGTGACATATTGGATACCACCCAGCACCACACAATGCTTGACATATAATAGGTACCCAATAAATATTACCTCTTTGTGCCTTGAAGAAGAGTAAATTTTAATTTAATTAAACAATAAATAAATAATTTTTGATGTTGTTTCAAATGCCCTGGATTCTGGTGCTAAGGAAAGGGATAGGGGGTGGGCTTTCAACAAGCTGAAATTTAGGACTACACCATGAAACCATTAGAAAACAACACCTAACAACAATAAAAATTAGGTTTCTACATGTGAAAGATTAGGAACATGGAAGGTGAGGGTAGGTCTGGTTTTCCAGGAAGCATA